TACGGCAAAATGTTGAGCACGTCGAGGTCGGATCCACTCGGTCTGGACCAAGTCGCGCCTTTGTACGAAAATGCCGAACGTGCATTCTCGAAGGAACGCTTCGTACAGAGAGCGCGGAGGTCCCCCAACACCGACAAATTGGTGGTGGGAAATGTTATCTCGACCAACGACCTCGCGCGCTCGATATTTAGTCATCCCAAGACGCCTTTCGCCAGAATGGTTCGCGCGTGCATACATGCGGAAGATGAGGAAGACTTCGTCGATTATTTGCAACAATTTATAAACGAACACGTCGACGTTTTTCCGGCTAAACTGATGGATCCGAATGCAAATTATTATACGTGGTTTGTGGCGCAGCGAGACGAGACAGACGAGGTGACTCGCGCTAGAGCGCGAACGATACGCGACGTTAAGAGGGCCAGGAGAGCCTCGTCTTCTGCCTCGTCCTCGTCGCGTGCCTCGTCCTCGTCTCGTGCCTCGTCTCCTGCACCACCGTCCGCAGCCGACGCACCTATGCGTGGTGCGAACGCCGCGCTTGCGCCCCTCTTGCAAGCGCGGCGTTCTATTTCGCCAGCGCCGCCGACACCGCCGACACCGTCGAGTACCCGCGTGCCGAGCAGGCCTAGAGGGAGGCCGCTAAGGATCAGGCACGCGGGTGGACGGCCAGCCCAACGACGGACACTCCCGAGCCCCGTTGCAGCAATACCGCCGCCGGAAATGAGGCAAGAAGGCGTCGTTGTTTTGCCAACTGTCGACTTGACGAGGCGGGAGCGTCAAAGGCTCCCCCAGATGGCCCATGAAGAGTTTCCCCATGTGAGCGAGCAGGGGGTTGATAGTCTCGTGTCGGGGATCCTGAGTCTCGGTTCCTGCGCCGAGGGCTTCTTCGATGAAGCGCCGTGAGGTACCTCGTCCCGCCTGTGCTGTGTGCCTCTTTGATGAGGCGCCGCAGATAGGGATGAGAGGAGTTCCCTTAAAGGACGACGCTTGACCCTCTGTGACTCTTTGCACCTTGAGGACTCGCGCTCTGATCGGTGCAGCACCGTTCGGGGCGGACTGAAGCTGGTGAGAGCTACTCTTGGGTAAAGTCAAGGACGCAGGACCGATGTATGCAATTACATTAGCCTCTCCGGTCCAACCGAACTCTACCTTCAAGAGGTTCCCGCTGGAAACCTCCGTCGACGCTTCCCGCTCGGGTTGCTGACGTGGAGGGCTAACGGAGTTAAGGCGAAATTCTCCCTTTCTTCCACTTCCCTTCCAATCCTAAACAGGGTCAGGGCGTGCGTCCAGGCGGGACGCAAATGGGCAGGCCTCCCCGTGGTCCCCGTGGGCATGTCGCGTGCGCCCTGGGCTTAGGCCCGGGACGCCCGCTTCACGGCTAAACTGCTCATCTTGCACAAACGGACCGTGCGAGCGCTGCTGGATTTTTCCATCGCCACTTTCGGGGCGGTCGGTTTTGCGAAAGTAGTGGATGGTAGTTTTGTAGCGTATGCCCGTCTGGGCGAAGAAGCATGTGGGCGGCCGCCTCGGTGGTCGTCACACTCACAATAACTGTCGACTTGACGACGCCTTCGCCAAGTCGGCAGATGTCGAGACGCGTCGCCTCTGCCGCCCCCGCCGATGCGACGCCGCTCGGCCGCGCTCCGAGGGAGCCGCGCGTTGTCCTGGAACGTGTCGATTTGACGACGCCCTCGCCAGCGAGTCGACACGTTCCAGCGGCAACCACGTCTAGGCCGCCGGATGATGATGATGGTGATGGTGGTGCACCATCCGAGGTGCCACAAGGTTTCGGGCAGAGGAGGGAGGGTATTATTACCCCCCCTCCATCTACGTCTCGCGAAGCTGGGATCATGGGCTCCACGCCGAGACCGAAGCGACGCAAACGCGCCTCCGCCACCACTATCTTACCGATATCGCCGCCGCCGCCGCCGCCTGCAGCGGCAATACCTACGATCAGGCATCAGGAAAATGTGCATATTCAAATGCAGCGTGTCGGGCGTAAATTGATTATGACGCAAACTTCCGAGAGCGTGCAACCGGTTGTAGATCGTCGGGAACATATCGGCGACAGAGCACCAACACCATCGCTTGTCGCTGGATCTTCGCGAGATGTTACCCACGACCTACAACAGGTTGTACGGCTAGAACGTTTGCCCGACGACAACGAATCTTCTCCCGACGCGACGCCGAGGAGGACACCGAGGAGGTCCGTTAGTTCGGAATCCTCCAAATTGGCGAAATCTTTTTTACGTCGCTATTGACGTAAAAAAGTGTTTGCCATTCTACATTTGTAAATATGTACATGGTTAATATTTTATTTTGTATTTATATTTTTACACCATCTGTATATATATTTTATTTGTAAATATGTACATATTTCTCATTTTGTATTTACATTCTTTTTCGTTACGTTTGTATATATTTTTTATTTGTTTTGTACATATGTTGTTTTGTACATATTTTGATTGTTTATTTCCTTGTTGATACTTGATTTGTACATATTTATTCATGTTTTGTATATACTTGTCAATTTGAATATACTTGTCAATTTGTATATAGTTGTTCATTTGTATATATTTGTTTATTTGTATATAGTTGTTAATTTGTATATACTTGTTAATTTGTACATATTCCCCGTCGAGACTCGTCACCTTGCCGTGGTGAAGGGGCTCCTTGTCACAGGATGGATCACTCTTGGTCAGTGACAGTGACCACTCGTGACAAGGTCTAAGAACGAGTCACGTCACGTTGTTTGCTACATTTACAGACCAATGTCGTCTTCT